CGCCAGTACCGGTCAGCGGTACCTAATGTTTTACTCACGTGACCGACTCTCGGTCGGCCATCTTTGTTGATTGTCTCACTCGTGTACTTCGCAGAGTTTATATTCAGTTATAATTTCGCTATTAAAGTTTCCCTGGTTCTGTGTATTGGCTTTTCACTTATTACTAACTGGCGTGGTGGCATTCGCTGGGTCTATCCAAGCCTCTTCATCGCCTCAAGTCTACAAATCGACTCAAAGCAAAGCCAAGCCGGCAAAAGTCGCCGAATAAGCACAAAACGTCAACATGGCATCAACTCATCGAGCTCCAAAACAATGGTGCCTTACGAAAGTTGAAACCATCACCACCTTCGAAAACTGGAAACAAAATATAGTATATTCATTATCTTTAGACAGCAACTTTGCTCCCTTCCTTGTCGAAGGATTCCAGTGGCAAAAGAAGACCAAAGGTCAACCTCTACGTGGCCTCACCAACGATGGCGAATCTGTACCTGAAGCTCGCCGCCGAACTGCTCAGCAAAAAGCGAATTTTCTCGAGTTGATGCTGGGGCAGATCGCAAATTATTGCCCAATAATCTCAAGGAATTCGCTTGTCAAAAATTCCACATCCCTGGAGTCTATATGGCAGTCCATTAGACAACACTTTGGCTTCCAAGTTACTGGGGCACACTTCATTGATTTTTCCGAAATTCACCTAGAGCCTAATGAGCGCCCCGAGGACTTGTACCAACGCCTAATGGCCTTCGTGGAGGATTCTCTACTCAAAACAAACGGCCTTGCACACCACGGTGATGTCGTGGATGAGGATRAAGAACTCTCYCCAACCCTTGAAAATCTCGTAGTATTAACATGGCTGCGATTAATCCACCCTCAYCTYCCTCGGCTAGTCAAACAGCGCTACGGGACTGAGTTGAGGTCCCGCACCCTTGCCTCAATCAAGCCTGAAATCTCCCAGGCACTTGAATCACTACTTCAGGARATCCATACAGTAGATGACGCAAAAGCCCTACGTTCAGCAGTCAGCGAATTTCGTCGTGTTCCTCAACGACCCAAAGCCCCTACTAMARCCCGGCCTAAGCCCTTCCGACAAGAGAAAACCTGTCCCCTTTGMAAACAGGCTGGACGTCCTGACACTCGTCACTTTCTGAGCCAATGCGAGTTCCTTCCAGACAATGACAAACGTTTCATGGTAAAAGCTCGCCAGATCGTGGACATCCTAGACGAGGGACCCACTCTTGACAGTGAATCGTGGCCTCCACCAGCATATGAAGARGAAGARGCTGATGACAGTCCTCCTGTCGCTTACAGGATCCAGACAAGGCAGTCACCTTATCTAGACGCCTTTGTCGGTCACCTCACCACAAGAATAACAATCGACAGCGGAGCCACTGGTAATATGATTCGCCAAGCYACTGCTGATCGCCTCGGAGCCAAAATAACACCTAGCTCCCAGTCCGTCCATCAGGCCGATGGCTCTTCAACACTCAAGGTCACCGGCGAGACACGGTTCAGCCTCATCAGGGACACACATGTATTCCACTTCGAAGGTCTAGTCGTCCAAGATCTTGATGTAGAGATACTCGCCGGGACACCATTCATGGAACTCAATGACATTGCTGTCCGACCCTCAAAGAGGGACGTAATCCTTGGCGACGGCTCCAGTTACACTTACGGTTCGTCTCGTAACCAACACCCCAACCCTACCGCCCGGTATGCGTTCCTGCTGAGAGCCCCTCCTTCAGCCCAAACCATCTGGCCCGGAGAATACCTCGAAGTTGAGTTACCTGATGACGCCCCTCCAGACTGTGAATATGCGCTTGACCCCCACAACGATGCCCTTAGCTCAAAACAACAGACTTGGCCCAACCCCTGCATAGTCTCAAGTGTCGCTCGTCGCATCCGCATCCCGAACCTGTCTTCTGAACCTCTCACCCTGAGACGCAACCAACATGTCTGCCACGCTACACTCACCTTTCAACCGGAATCCAAGCCTGAGGTTGCTAAAGGCAAGCCAACCGTACGTACTAAGCCGGGAGTATTCCACTCTACTGCTGTCCAGATCGACCCCGACAACCTACTACCACAAGACATCCAAGCCCAGTTCAAGTCACTGATGAAAGAATTTGACTCTGTGTTTGACCCTGACTTCAAAGGTTACAATGGCGCTGCAGGCCCATTCCAAGCAAAAGTTAACATGGGTCCAGTGGAACCTCCACAACGCAAGGGTCGCCTCCCTCAATACGATCGTGGTAAACTCGTCCTTCTCCAAGAAAAGTTCGACGAACTGGAAGAACTCGGTGTGTTCGAAACACCAGAGAAAGCAGACACCACAGTCGAATACCTCAACCCCTCCTTCCTCGTAAAAAAGAGCAACGGTGGCCACCGTCTCGTCACTGCATTTGCCGACGTTGGACGTTACTCCAAACCTCAGCCTTCACTACTCCCAGACGTAGACACAACACTACGTCACATTGCTCAGTGGAGGTATCTCATTAAGACAGACCTGACAAGCGCTTTCTACCAGATACCCCTGGCGAAAGAGTCCTTGAAGTACTGCGGCGTCGCCACACCATTTAAGGGAGTACGGGTCTACAAACGCTCTGCAATGGGGATGCCCGGCTCAGAGACCGCCTTAGAGGAGCTCATGTGCCGTGTACTTGGACCACTCCTCCAGGAAGGTTCAACCGTTAAGATAGCTGACGACCTTTATTGCGGTGGAAATACACCCCAACAGCTACTAGAAAACTGGAGAAAACTCCTTCAAGCCCTTCACAGATGTGACCTCCGCCTTTCAGCTTCCAAAACTGTCATCAACCCTAAAGAAACCACTATACTTGGCTGGATCTGGAAAGCTGGTACCCTACGAGCCAGTCCGCACCGAGTCAACACACTTGCCTCCTGCCCTCCCCCTAACACAGTTGGTCAGATGAAGTCCTTTGTCGGTGCATACAAAGTACTTTCCCGCGTCATTCCTCAGTGCTCNAATGTAGCAGTGTAGCAGTGTTGCAATGTAGCAGTGTTGCAATGTAGCAATTTGTAGCAATGTAGCAGTGTAGGAAAGTACACATTTTGGACTTATCTCTGTAATCCAGTGTTCAGTATCCTCATCATTATTAGTATTAATATCGTTACTCATACTAGCTAGTAAGTAACGCAAAGGATAGATAAAAGAAAAATTATTGTGTTTGGTTGTACACAACTTATTTGGCGTTGAATGTTGAGTTTTTTAATTAATTCTTTAATTTGGAGTGATATGTTTTTTAATCAAAAATAATAACGGCTTTACACATTACCCAGAATGCATTGATGGAGTAAGATATGATCATTTGGCACAAAACAGTGTTTATTTTGAGGTATGGAAAACAATGCAAAGTTTTTTCAAGCAGGGTTTTGGTGGTAGCCAGCCTTTTACGAGGCAAAGTGTAAATAATTTAGTGCAAGAGTTCACAAATGCGGTATCTATTTATTTCAATTATAACCATACAAAATTGCAGCGTAATCCGGATATTCGGATGAGATTGATAATGATGATAGACGACTCTTTATTTTCATGAAATATCATTATTGTATTTCTTTGGTTGTTGCACTTATGTATTATATATGATAATACTAGGCATTTTTATATCTGTTACATCTAAATATCTGTTACATCAGCTATGTATACTTTGATGATTTYGCAAGTGTATTTTTTTCTTTCTTACTGTTTCTGCCTTAACTGTTCGGTCTTACAAAATATCGAAAACATATGAGTAAATAAGATTACACCTTATGAAGTTGAGGAAATAGGAGACAAACAATAAGAATCTTGTCTCTTAATTTTTGTAAAATGTTCAAAGAAACTATCGGCGCTTTGATCGACGCTTGAAACCCAAGCTTCTTGCACGGCCCATACTCCTGAGAGAAATAAGAATAAGGTTAAGTGTCGTGCTGTAGGAATTGTAAGCGTACAGRATAAAAGGAAGAAGAACGAAAAATAGAGCGACGAATGAGAATGCGAAATTCAATGGGATTTTTCTGTAATAGATTTACCAATATGGGAAATGTACCTTTTTTGGTATGAAGCTCCTTTTATCTTTTTGGCTGGAGGCTCCGGTGCACTGTTAATCTCCCTTTTTTCTTGCGGCGTGGTTCTCATTCTTTTTGTTGGGGACAGCCGTGTTTTATTCACATCGTCACTGAAAAAATCTATACCAAAGAAAAGTAATATGTTGTTAAAGCATGTGAAATAACTTACATTTCAACAATTTCTTTAATCATTCAAGTCAGAAATAAATGTTACTTTTCTAACTCAAATTTCAAACGGAGACGAGACTTTTCTCATTGACACGCAAAACCTCTTTTCGAAAAAATCGGAGTACTTTGAGTGTTTTTTTTTACTTAGTCATGATAACAGATACTTTACCTCGAACCAGATCTGATGTGCAATCTTCAAGTGCTTTGAGATCTAAAACCAGGCAGCGGACTGACTTCTGTGAAGACATTCGCCTTGGTTCAGACGAGCCCAGTCCCGATTTGATGGCGTGACTAACCAACTGGTGCATTGCGAATGTCGCATTGTCAAAAAAGCTTGGGTGAAGTGTAATGCTTTCGCTGCCTTGACGTCTCCCTAGTCTCATCAACTTTCTCACCTTTGGGAAATGATAAGTATTATCGCATTAGTCTTATTACACAATGTGGCCAAAAATGCCAATAGCATAAACGGCTTATTCCCCACTTAAAACTATGACAATAATGCAATGAATGTGATCGTCGCAGTGTAAATAATAATCTGCGATTATAAAATGAATGTATAGATCGCCATACAGTTGGAAGAGTACCGTACCGACTTCGCAAAGGTTATGGGCTCGATTCCCGTTGAAGCCCGAATTTTTTTTTCGGGTGATTGATCCATACATTTTTTAATAATCGCTTAGATTTTTATCTACACTGTGACAATCACATTCACTACATATTTATTCACCGCAGTTCGAAMCATTACTTCATGGCAATTATATTTCCGCCTTATAATTGACGGTTATCTCACCTCGTCTTTCGAGCTTCCCTGAATTACCATCTTCACCCTATCGCTTAGGGACTGAAACAGCTCGAACTTTTCAGTGTCGTGCTCGTTGGGGTTAGAGTACAAAGACGTACCATCATCGGTTTTGCGTGGTTGATGAGCCATAATAAAAGGGACCATAACCTCATCGAAGTACTGATCAATAAAGTGAATGTCCTCCGTCATGCCGCAGATGCGTTTATAAATCTGAAATGAATCACACCGTTGTCATGTAGAATGGGATTATAGTCGGTCACGCACGTGACATCTTCGCCATTCCAGGGAGAGGAATACACTGTCGCTCGCAACGTGACTTAAATACGTACCTCTTTGGTAAACCATATGAGCATAGAATATGGTATGTAGCAGTCTGGAATGACATCACTTCTGAATTTTTTTTGCACTTCAGGCAAAATCTTCTCGATGGTTTCATTCCATCCCCTGCTCGCAAAATCTCCACCAGCGGCAATAAACGCCGGTACTGCTGCGGCCAATTCGGACGAGTTGATGTCCTTCTTCACTTGGACATGAGATTGCACACTTTCGATGGTATCTCCTGCTATCGATTCTCCAAGAAACGGAATATACACAACCCGGCGTAATTCCCTGAGTAAAGAAAACATTTGTAACCGGTTAGAAGGACATGAAGTGGATTTAGGTTTGYACATTTTCATTTGTTGTTTTAACCAGTAATTATTTACAGTGTAATTTAAATGTACTGAAATAATTCTCAGTCGGATACTTTTCGAGACTAAAAATGTTACCTTGTTTTTCCATCTATTACGTCATTTGATGCTATCATCAGACCACATCTCATCGACTCGACACCTCTTCCAATGGTGGCCGAACTACCCCGATTGAAAAAATTAACTACTATTTCCTTAAGTGTCCCTGACTTAGATGGGTTAGAGGGATCATCTATATAAACACCCATGGTTGTGCGATTTGATCGCTGCAGAAGCTTTTGGCTGGTAAAGGATTTCAACATTCCAGTTTTCAAAAGTCCTAATCACAAGAAAAGTGACAAAAAAAACATATGAGTACAAATATCACACAATGAACAGTTTCCTGTACAATTAGAACCCAGACAATAAATATGTGTGAAATACTGAGAGTCCATGTTTCACTATTTGTTAAGGTTATAAACCTAATTGCAGAAGATAGGACAACTGTAGAAAAGACAAAAGAAAAAGTTTGACCTAAGTGGTTTTGTTTTATCTCTTTGAAATAAACAACCATGTTCTGTTTCTCTACAACAATTTCTGCAGTAAGTGTATCTGGGAATGTTATACTTAAGTACTTCCGTACATTTCTTAATCCCCTATGTAATCTTTTACTGACATCTAGCATTACCTATTGATGACAAGCCAAGTTTTAATGCTGTTGTCTTTCCGCGGCCAGGCGGTCCAACCATAATGGCCGCTGGGCACCCCTCGTARACTTCTTCTATACTCTCTGCATGATTGATCATACAGAGACCACCTAGGCAAAATATTGCTGCTGGATAGTTGTGATTGAGCGTCTTTTTTACCTCCTAAAACAATAACACAACAACAAGAACAAGTTAATTTTTGTGAATGCGGCTTGAACTTTGATTGGTATATTGGAATGAAARTCGTTTTTAATGATAATTTGGTCATTGTCACTATTAAATRCTATGCTTACCTGAAGTGTCCTTGACAATGGGCGGACAAAATAAGAAAGGTCTTTTGGCAACTGAACGATTAGTTCCTCGTCATCAGGAACGTAAACGTATTCAGAGGTCACACGCTTTCCCTTCTTGTTAAATTGAACCTTTTGATATAAGAAGATGTTACAAATTTGTTAAAATTAGAGTTTGGATAATTGAAATGAGAAGGATGCCGACAATGATGGTTAAACTTTATAAATTTCTTTAATGAAGCACGATGGTTAATATAGTAACTCTACGAAAACCACTTGTGATAAAAGTTTTCCACTCCATCAATAAAGATTATCTATCTCTTCTATGTCCGTTATCCAACAGCACATTTTGTATCTAGTCGTTCTTGAGCGCGACTATTTGTTTTAAAGGAGCACTTTTTCCACTTATCGTCTTACAAGAAAACGTCGATGTTGTACGTTGCATATTGAATCCCCAAAACTATCAGTTGAATTAGTAACAAAAATACTGTGGAATACCTTGTCTGTGAGCACCCAAATGGAGCAGTCTTTCACCTTTCCTAGAGTTTTTACAGCTTTTAAGAAAGTGAAATCGTTTGAGCTTTGAAAGTCCAGAACTTTCTTAACAAACTGCGACTTAAATACAGTTTCCGGTAAAGAACAGGATAAACCCCCTCCGCCTTGAGCACATAGTGCTTTGTTAAGATGGAAAACCAATTCATCTCTTTTAGGATTCGATGGAACATATGCTTGTCTGTACATAGTATGAGAAAGAAAAGAGGAAATGTTAATCATTATGTTTATGTCACTGTAATAACAGCTACAATTATAACCACAAACGCAATAAGCGATCCTTATCATCTGATCATCATGTGTTTTATTTACGCGACGTGAAATATAATAGACTGAGAAATCCCGCCAACGTAATAGACATACAATTGAGAGTAATTAACTGCCATTCATAACAATATCTGTGAAAATAAAAATGAAATTTGAAAATTCTTGTCTCTATCTTGCTGAGACGCGGAAAGTTTGCTAGTACGAGATAGATTGTCATTCCGCTATGATCCAAATAATGATATATAAACTAGATAGATTGATGTATTAATCGAGGCCAAAAAATGCAGCCATCATTAAATTGAAATGTAAAAGTGTAATTTTTTTACTTACAATACTGTGCCATGCGGAAATGTCTTGACTTCAACAAGAAAGCCATCTTTTTCTCCACC